AAAACTACTTATGTTAGTCTTGATTTTTTAGAGACATAATGTTGGTCCCCTGATTACGCAACTTTGCCCCCATTTAAGCTATTTCGTACCTCTTACCGTTTCCGAGATCCCTGTAGTGAGAAGCGAATTTGTAACAGCCTGTATATATTTTGGAATTCCCAAGAAAATTTCCTAAAATTTTGGTCTTTAATATTTTTTCCTAGATAGAAAGATAAAAAATAAATTATAACGTTCGTAATATAGAGTACTTGCTTTTGTTTGTGTACAAATCATTAAAACTTTTCTTCTCTCAGGTAATCGACAATCTATCGATAATTTAGACAAACAAAATCTACATACTATTTCTTTCTAGAGGTCAAGTGCCATGAAATCATATTGAAACAGATGAATAATCAATTCAACTGTTTTCACATAATTGCATAGCACATAGGTACTCGGTAATTTGTTCAAATACGAGGACTATTCAGAAAATAACCGATTTTTTTTAATTACTCGCTAGTGGAGATATTTAGTGATATGCGGTTAGCAGCATTGCGGTGCGCATAACCTCCTCTGTAACCACATGAGTATTTCATGAGTATTTGTAGGACTATATAGATTATTGCAAATGCTATTTTGGCGCCTACTATAATTCGAGTGTCATAGATGGATTCCAATGCCAAAGTGATGATCACTGTTTTTTCGACTATAATGGAATTAAGTATTTTGAATTCTTGCCTCAAAGAGAAACACTGAACCGCGTGTACAAATCCGCGAAAAGATCCATAGGTTGTGGCGAGATAACTCATGGTTCTTGCACCATGACAATGCGCCCGCACTCAGCTTCGTCAAATCGTCAGTTTTGTACCAAAAATCAGATTACTGTCGTCCCTCACCCTCCATACTCGCCAAACCAATTGAAAAGACGCTGCTTTCAGACTAACGATAACATCAAAACAAATTCGTCAAAGAACATTTCAAATGTAGCTATCCAGGACTGCTTTGCGAAGGGGAAACACCGCTGGGAAAGGTGTGTGAATAGGCGAGGAGAGTATTTTGAAGAAGACAAGGACCAATAATGTATAAAGTTAATAAGAAAATTTAAAAAAAAATAAAAAATCGATAACTTTCTGAACAGACTTTGTATAAACATAACTAGGTTTAAACTTGTATGCTAAACTTTTAAAGCATCTTTATTTAATATTGATTAGATGACAAAAGTAAGTATACTACATAGTTAAGGCATAGATATATAATTTCAAATAATTCCCGGAATAGTCATTAGATAGTAATCCATTTTATAAAGATCAAAAGGTTATAAATGCACCAATACTTACACCTAATATGAAATATGTTGACTTTCTGTGCGTTTTTAAATTAAATTTAATTTTAACATGGAAATAGGTACACAGATAAAATGAAAGATGTAGGAAATTTATATGACGGACAAAGGGGAATAACTCTTTAATAATAAATTCTGTAATTGCAACTTATATTCTTAGGAATATGGAACGATTCGGAATAAAGGCATATAATTATTACTTTACCAATGCGGCGTTAATCAATACTATTTCTCATAGTTTAATTATACCCAGGACCCGATACAGTCAATAGTTTTTTTTATAATAAATGAATTGAAAATTAATTATTACTTCCTATTTGACTTAAAAAACATATTGTGTATTGAATATTTAGTGAAATTTCTTAAATGGATTTATAGTCGTAATTACAACTTTGATATTGAATATTTGTCTGCGATGTCAAGATATATGGAGTTGCCATTTTTTGTCTCCGTGCTTGGCTTACTTTTTATTTTTAAAGATAATTACATAATCAGATCAGCCAAGTTGTGCAAAATTTATAAAAATTTTTTAGTTATTTTAAAAATTCGGATACCACTTTAGGTTCTGGAAGAATGGCGAAAAGGTGGGTTATTCGGCAATTTACGTTTGGCGTTAAAATGTAGCTATTTTTATGCTCTTCAAACTAACCTATAAAAAGTTTTATCCTGCTAAACCTAAACTTGGATAAATAGCATCAATAAATAAACAACACTTAGAAATTTCAAGTTTACACTATATTCATCAATTTTTTGTGCTGAATTCATTTTAAGTATGTAAATCTATAATACGACATTCTTTTGAAATAACACCATCTATAGGTTTCCATATTAAGGTAAATGACATTACGCATTCACACGAGATAAAGTATGAAAATACCTTTCCAACGAGGTATAACACTATGGGCTTTTGATGAGCCAATCCTTAAAAAAATGCATTTTTCTGATCAGATATTAGGGGCTCCTCTGCCCTTTCTGTCGAGAGATAGAACAAAATGTCAATAACAAAAGTTATGCGCAATGAATCCGGCTATCGATGTATGCACTATTTAATATATCTGAATAAAAAACATTTCTGAGAAAAATTCAACTTTATGTTTTGGTACGTAGATTGCGCCCCCTAGCGGCCGAGCTACGAACTATTTCCAGATTTCTCTTGGTTGATTTTTTAATCAAAATTTTTTTCTCGAAGTTCTAGGGCCTATACTTTCCCTAATATCGTACCTCACAGGCCTTAGTGGGACACCCTGTATAGTGTCAAAGGTAAATAAATGTGCATCTGTTGTGGTTGGTGGTTTGTTATTTTAATGACTATTATTATTTTTTACTGAAGGTTAACCGACCAAGGAATTGACCAATTTATGTAAACAAGTAAAACGTTGCCACAAATACCTACAGAGAATTGTGATAATTCCATGAACGCTTTATAAATATTTGTTAAATCTAAAATACATTTTATATACTTAGTGGTTTAACTATCATTATTTAAAATGCAACGCCATATCTGTATTCATGAGACACATTAAAAATATTCTAAAAATCTTAAAATTCCAACGTTAGAAAACGTACAACATATCATTTGATGTTTCACTAAATGATATAACTAGATATGAAAAATGTGATTCTTCCATGAATTCTTAAAATTAAACGAGGAAATATGATTTTTAAATAAAACTGCTGAAAACTTTAAAACACATTAACCAAACATGATTATTATTTTAATTCAAAATTACCCAGATCATTGATTGATAAAGAAATCATTTGAAAAGGTACTTACTAGGCAAATCTGATAAGGAATAATCCAACAGAGTCGGTTCAGTTGATTTTTTTCTAACTATCCGAAACTGCTGCTTGTGGACTGCAATTAACTATATAACTTAAGTCCTCCATTCATCAATATTTTTTCCTCAAAGCAATACTTTTCATAGTATATTATGCTTATCATAAAAAAAAACAATAAAAACATTTTATATTATACATGTTAAAAGTAGGACAATAAAGTTTAAACGCTAATAATAACCGCCAAAATAATGGAAAAAATTGAGCCACTGGGTATTCTAGAAATTTGTTCACTACGTATCGTACTAGGTATGTTCCATTTTAATAGAAAAACTTTTTTAACTTGCATTATCGTTACAAAGTGCTTCAGCGAAACTAAAATAACTAGTACTACTCGTATCACAAAAATTTTATAGCATTTTTTTCTAAGAATTCGATTTTACTTAATATAGGGTGTAACTAAAATACTTGGCTGAACTTTTATAGCAAATTCTAATTCACAAATCACCAACAAAGTTCCTATAAACATGATAGAATATAGAAAATTTTTTAATGTTTTCTCGTTGCGTGTTGTTAGAATGCACCATTTTCGAGAAAAATAATAAAATGTTAGATCATGTCTACATAATTATTGTTGTTAAAAGTGTCAAATCGTTATACTGTTTTTTGAAATAAAAAATTAATATTCAAATAAAACGTTATGAATAAAACTAGGTATTATTTACATGGTTTCCATCGACTTTTTTTTCTACATAATAACAAAAGTGATTTTTTGGGCTAATAATTGCTAGGCTATATTCAATATTCACTTGTAATACCACTAGAAGTTAAATTATATCCGGAAATTTTTTAGAGCTCACGAATATTTTTAAAATTATCGTTAGACGAAAGATAATTTTCGGAAAATATTCGTGAGAGAGGAAAAACCAATGTATAATTTGATCTCGAGTGGTATTCGGTAAGAAAATTTTACAATATGAGTTTATAACATAAAAATCCTATTTACAGTATTCATTGTGTTTATTTCGTAGTATAATTACTACGTGGTTAAATATACAAGGCTTTGAATTACCTTAAATGTCAAATTTCGAGAAAAATTATGTCAGTTGTACTTATGTATATAAACAACCACAGTGATACAAATAAAAAACATTTAGTTGGTTTTTGTACTATATACAGAGCCGACAAAATGAATCGCTTTGGTCAAGAAAATGCGGTAGTAGAAAGGCAACAAATTGAGAAGTTATCACCCAACAAATCTAAAGCAAGTGTTTGGAGACAATTTACTGACTTTTGTTTGAAGAAGTAACATAATTTCGATAGGGAAGACATATTATCTTTAGGGGAACTTGAATTGTGGTTTCAATATGCGCAGGAAAGATGCAACAGATTACAAGGAGGATGTAGTGAAAGTTTTATTACTGCGGAACAGTTACAAAAGCATTTTTATAAAAAATATATTCACAAATTTGGTTCTTTTTCGGATACTGTTTTTATTCTTTTAATATTAAACAATATAGAAAGTTTAACATACCGCACTGGTTGTTTGTAGATAGTCATTATCATTTCATGAAGTCCCGCTGTCACTTTTTATTATGTCAAAAAATTTCCACTGTAATACCTTCTGGGGTACCCCAGCAGAAAATTTTCAAAAAAATACGTGGGTTGTTATGGCAACATTAAGAAATGCTCCCAGTTTATTGGTTAACACAATGTAGGCCTGTGAAATTTTCGTGTAAATTTAAACTTGTATCAGATAACCAAATAACCAAAATCTTAACAATATTTTTTATATTAATCAACGTGCTGTGAAGCCGGTCCTGTAACCCCAACCACATGCGCGTGATTGGGCAAAGGCTGAAGAGTTTTTCAAACAATCAAAACGTATCATCGATTCCTTACGCATTCACTCGTTTTTCTCGACTCATTCCTTATCCGCCATCCGCCACGGAACCCTGCAATGATCAAAGTAGAAAGTGACGTTAGTGAACTGGTTTTGCCCAGGGCGCAAATTTTGAATGGCACCAACAATGCGTGGGAGAGTGTTATTGACGTAGAGGAAGAGATATCTTCCAAAACTGCGCCTAAGGATGTTGTGGCAGTTGCGAAGAAAGCGTTCGCGACCGGAAAGACGAAACCTCTGAAATTTCGGCGGGAACAACTTAAGGGACTACTTAAATTTTTAGAGGAATGCAAGGAAGATATAGAAAAAGCGCTGTATCAGGTAAGTTAAGTCCTAATAATTAAATAAATATTATTAGTTATTTATAGTTTCCTAGGAATATTTTTTCATTTCAATTCTATCTATTTAAAATTGTATCGCTCAAAAATAAATCAATTTAGTACAAAAATTTTATAATCGTAATATTTTCTGATACAGGATTAATAATTTTAATGGAATTAATGTCGTTTGTCTCATGCCAAAAACGAAAAATGTCACCTGCTGTAAAAAATTACCAACTTAAGTTTTCATAAACATATATCAATATGTCATCAATAAGACAGTTTATATTATGGAAAAAAATTTGTTTATCAATTTTTTAAAAATATGTATTTAGCAATAGTTTTTTGCTTAAAAAATATTCTCAAGTGACGTGTACAAAATTGAACTCGTGAGCAGAGCAAACTGTCAAATTTAGTTAAAAAAAAAATAATAATTAACATAATTTGGAAAACGTAAGAGAAAAAAGTAGTTCTTAAATTAATTATACTTATACAGGGTGTTTCCTAAGTACAGTCCACAACTTCAGGACACAATTTCTTACGGTATTTAAAGAAAAAAAAGTTCCTATAAACACATGGCCGGAAACGCTTAGATTCCGAGATACAGGGAAAAAAATTATTAATATTTGAAATAAATTCAATGTTAGTTTCGTAAAATTTAGCAGTTATTGTACAGGGTGATTCACTAGATATATTTTGACCCCCCATTAACTTTTTTGTTTTAAGGGTTATAAAAAAATGTGAAATATAAAAGTTGCACGATTTTTTATGAAGTTTTCAAAAATGATAGAAAAACAATTCCAAACAAAATGGCCGCGGATTTTAACTTTGTTAATTTAAATGGAACACCCCCTATATTTTTTATATATTTGGATAGAACGTTCCCTGTCGAGCATGGTCATATAGGGTTTGTTGGGTCCGTCTCTAACAGGCAGCGAGATAATATTAAAAAACGAAAAGAAGGTTTTTTACTAAGAAAATAAGATATTTTCTAATTGTCAGACCTCCTTCTACATTTCTGTCATTTTTCCAATTACGTAAGGATTTAGATTTAGTTGTAATATATTTTGACATATAGGACATTGATATAGTCTAAAAAGCGGAGAGATATTTTAACTAAATCTCACTAATTAGGCCGTGAGAGGCCTATTTACTCATGGACAATGTTATTTGGTAGGCCGGGTTATAATATAGGTCGTAACAATGTTATGACAACATTGTTATTGTTTGACGGTTTGTATTATTATTTAATTAAAATGGGTTACACAGAACTAGAAAATTGAAATATTATGGGAATTAAAATAAAGTTTTTCTCCATTTTCTATTGTAATTCTAAATATTTCAATTTTCTACTTCTGTGTAACCCATTTTAATTAAATAATAATACAAACTGTCAATCAATAACAATGTTATCATGACATTACTATCTGTCACTGTCACGACCTNCAGGGTGATTCACTAGATATATTTTGACCCCACCATTAACTTTTTTGTTTTAAGGGACAATAAAAAAATGTGAAATATAAAAGTTGCACGATTTTTAATGAAATTTTCAAAAATGATAGAAAAAGAATTGAAGTCCAAACAAAATGGCCGCGAATTTTAACTTTGTTAATTTAAATGGAACACCTCCTATATTTTTATATATTTGTATAGAACGTTCCCTGTCGAGCATGGTCATATAGGGTTTGTTGGGTCCGTCTCTAACAATAAGCGAGATAATATTAAAAAACGAAAAGAAGTTTTTTTACTAACAAAATAAGATATTTTGTAATTGTCAGACCTCCTTCTGCATTTCTGTCATTTTTCCAATTACGTAAGGATTTAGATTTAGTTGTAATATATTTTGACATATAGAACATTGATATAGTCTAAAATGCAGAGATATTTTAACTAAATCTCACTAATTAGGCCGTGAGAGGCCTATTTACTCATGGACAATGTTATTTGGTAGACCGGGTTATAATATAGGTCGTAACAATGTTATGACAACATTGTTATTGTTTGACGGTTTGTATTATTATTTAATTCAACTGGGTTACACAGAACTAGAAAATTGAAAAGTTTTTCTCCATTTTCTATTGTAATTCTAAATATTTAAATTTTCTACTTCTGTATAACCCATTTTAATTAAATAATAATACAAACTGTCAATCAATAACAATGTTATCATGACATTACTATCTGTCACTGTCACGACCTACCATATAACTTGTAGTTGTGTAGTAATTATACCTCACACGATCTAATTAGTGAGATTTAGTTAAAATACCGATACGCATTTTGGACCCTATCATTGTCTGATATGTGAAAATATTACAAATAAATCTGTAAATCCTTTCGTAATAGGAAAAAAGCAGAAATGCCTGGAAGAGGTCTAACAATTACAGGATGTCTTATTTTTTTTAATAAAAAAACCTTCTTTTTGTTTTTTAATATTATCTCGTTTATTGTTATAGATGGACCCAACAAACCCTATATGACTATACTTGACATTTTATCCAAATATGTAAAAATATAGAGGGTGTTCCAACAAAATTAATATCCGCGGCCATTTCGTTTGGACTTCATTTGTTTTTCTACTATCATTTTCGAACACTTCATAAAAATCGTGCAACATTTGTATTTCACATTTTTTTTATAACTCTTAAAACAAAAAAGTTAAAGGGGGTCAAAATATAGTGAATCACCCTGTACTTTGATAAAGAGCTGCATTTTTAGTATAAAGTCATTTTTTGTCTGCCGTCAGTGGCGTAGTTAGGCGTGAGTCAGTCGGCGTTTTCGTCATAAAATGTAGAACGCCAATGGATTTTTTAAAATTTTTATTATTTTCGGATTCGCCTAATATTTTACAACAAAGTAGATGTCTTGAATTTTTTGCCTACTACTAACCTATTATTAGAAGAATGGCCGGCAATTACAAACAACAATGATAGAAATAATAGAAATAATCAGTTTCGGCAAAAAACAGGTATTGAAAATGGCCACCTTCTGATAAAACGCACGATTTCAATCGTTTCATCATTGATTGTCTCACTGTTCAAAAATTCCTGGAGAATTTTGTATGCCATCACAACTTTGAATTATTCGATTTCGTAACTCGTTTTCATCTAGCACAGGTGTTTTATACACAAGAGACTGGAGGTGATCCCATACATAAAAGTCGCAAGGATTCATATCAGGACTGCGAGCTGGCCAAGCTTGGGAACCTGCCCGTCTAATCCAGCCGTTAGGAAAGGTGCATAAACCAGAAATTAGCTCTTACGTGTAGAGGTACATCTTCTAATAAAAAGTTTAATTCTTCGGCTAGAAACTATACCTATACCTACGAGTTACCAGTTAATCGAGCTGGTAAAAAGTAAGGTCCAATAAAAGCGTCATGAATAAACCCTATCCATACACTCAGCGAAAACAACCATCTCTTATTGCGTGCAAATTTTCGTCCGCCCAAAAATGTTCATTATCAAAATTAATAATTAATTGCTTCTCGCGAAAAAGTTTCCTGGTCAGTAAATAAAATTTTCGTCAAAAATTGTTATTATGTACACTGTATAGAGTAACCACCTACTAAAATCTAACCTTGGCTCAAAATCACGGGGCAGTAAAGCTTGTACCCGGTATATATAGTACGGGAATAGCAGACAAACTTTCAAAACTTTCCAAACAGTCTTTGTATACATCCATGAAGCCGCAACGCTATCTTCCTGGTACTGGTCGAAAGATCTTCTATCTCTCGAAGTATATCTCCTTCTAACTCTGGGGTTGTTACTGTTGAAAGGTTGCCTGGAACTTCCGTACTACGTTTAAAACTACCAGTTTCACTCAATCTCAATCTAAATGTTTTAGAACATGGCGTTACTCTNCGAAAACAACCATCTCTTATTGCGTGCAAATTTTCGTCCGCCCAAAAATGTTCATTATCAAAATGAATAATTAATTGCTTCTCGCGAAAAAGTTTCCTGGTCAGTAAATAAAATTTTCGTCAAAAATTGTTATTATGTACACTGTATAGAGTAACCACCTACTAAAATCTAACCTTGACTCAAAATCACGGGGCAGTAAAGCTTGTACCCGGTATATATAGTACGGGAATAGCAGACAAACTTTCAAAACTTTCCAAACAGTCTTTGTATACATCCATGAAGCCGCAACGCTATCTTCCTGGTACTGGTCGAAAGATCTTCTATCTCTCGAAGTATATCTCCTTCTAACTCTGGGGTTGTTACTGTTGAAAGGTTGCCTGGAACTTCCGTACTACGTTTAAAACTACCAGTTTCACTCAATCTCAATCTAAATGTTTTAGAACATGGCGTTACTCTTTTAGGATAACGTTCCTGATAAATTCGCCGCGCTTCTTTCGAATTTTATTATCTCATCCACAGTTTTGATTGACAACTTATAACTAGCAAAATGCCAACTATCTCGGTACCAAACAAGTAACTAAGACGACAAAAAAGGCATACCACATTATCTCTTATTTTTATTGTTGCTGAATTAAATAAATAAGGTTTTTTTCTAAGAATTTTTTCAAGACACCTTTATTGTTTTAAAATGTTGGGCGAATCCGAAAATAATAAAAATTTAAAAAAATCAAAAAATCCACTGACGTTTTCCATTTTCTGACGAAAACGTCGACTGACTCATGCCTAACTACGCCACTGGTGGCAGATAAAAATTGACGTTATACTAAAAATGCAGCCTTTACCAACGTACAATAACTGCCAAATCTTAAGAACCTAACATTGACTGTTCCAGATTTATTTCAAATATTAATATATTTCTTAATGTATTTCGGAATCTTAAGCGTTTCTGGTCAGTAACATATTTATAGGAACCTTTATTTCTTTAAATACCTTAAGAAATTGTGTCTTGAAGTTACGATTAAATGTGATGTGATGTGATGTGAATATGATACAATTTATCTGGTTCCAACAATTTATTCTGAAATAGATACATCCATTGAATAATAAAAACAAAATTCAGTGGTTTTCATGGCCTGCT